TATCATAAACATCTAAAAGAAAACATTCTACCCTTTCAACATTCTATCCAGAAATATACATAGTCAGGTCCACATGTTCTTTAGGTATCTTTTCTATCTTTTATGTGACTGCAGACTAATGTGGATAATTTTTCTTCTAACATAGAAATTGGGTCCAGCCTACAATAACAGTATTCTCATTGTCTTTTTTTTTTTTTTTTTTCCAGTACTGGGAATTGAACCCAGGGCTTCATGCATGCTAGGCAAGTGCTCTACCACTAACCTATATATACAGCTCTTTTTATTCTGAAACAGGGTCTCACTAATTTTCCCAGGCTGTCCTTGAACTTCTTATCCTCTTGCCTCAGCTTTCCCAGTAGCTGAGATTACAGGCATGTGCACCACACCTGGCCTCACTGTCCTTTAATGATGTTCTTAACTAAGAGATCCTTCAAGGTTCTTCTAACTTCTATCCTCTACCTGAACCCAAAGTAAGTGTCATGTGTCTTAGCTTTCTATTATTGTAGGGTCCCACTTGGGTATGCAATTATGTTTCAGTTATACACTGAGGACCCTAAATCTTAGTGGCTGAAAACAATATTCACTTTTTACTAACAATTTTTTAATGTGGACACCATTTGCTGAAGAAAGCTCATCTCTCTTCCACATGAGATGGGGCAGCTCAACTAGGGCTGGAGTATCTACTTTCAAGACAGTTCATTCACAAGGCTGGCAAATTGGTACTGGTTGTCTGCTGAGAGCCCAGCTCTGGGGGTAGGCCAGCCACCTGGACTCTCCTCCCGGACAGCCTTTGTATGTGGCTGCATGGGCTTCCTCAAGTGATCCCAGGGAAGTGAATGGATCTCAGAACTATTAAGGAGGTAAAAATCAGAGGGAAGTTGTGCTCCGTTTGTGTACAATGTGTCAAAATGCATTCTACTGTCATGTATGACTAATTAGAACAAATTAAAAGTAAAAATTAAAATGAATCAGGGGGAAGTTGAACAACTGTGTGAATATACTTAACACTACTGAAATGTGTACTTCAAATAGTTAAGATAGTAAATTTTATATGATGTATCTTTTGCTACTATGAGAGAAAAAAAAACCAAGATCATAAATATATAAGAACAGGGAAGACGATGATGGCCTGGAGGAGGATGGCAGCAGGGTGAGGGAGAGAGGGTTATCAAGGATGACAGACAGCAGTAAAACAGCCTTTGACCTCGAGAACTTCCTTGGCTCTGTGGAAGATTTTAACAATCACAACACATGGTAGACACTGCAGCTTTCTGTTGCAAAGCTAGCACAGGTCTAGAGCCCATGCCATGCAAATAGCCTCAAAATAGATCTTTAATGTCTGCAATTCCCAGAGACAAACATTTAAGACATAATTATAGGTTTGGATTTCTTAGAGCAAGCCTCAAAAGGAACACTGCCAGAGAAACAGTGATGAGTCATAAAAACTACAGGTGCATACAATATTTCCTTTTCAATCTGGCATGTTACCTTGTAGGCCAGACAGAAATATGGTAGGGCAGTGGACAGGGGAGAAGGCAGATGTCTCTTGGTCATTAGCCCAATTTTTCCAGGATATAACATCCCTTTGTTATCTTATGATTCTTAGTAGGTCTGGAAACTATCACTACCAAGTGATCTTACTTTTGAAACTTTCTTTGAAGTAGTAAACAAGTCATAAAGATCATTTATATCCTGATTGAAGGAACATCCTCCCTCCTCCCTCTCTCCCTCCCCCCCCTTTCCCTTCTGTTATAAAGTTTTATAAATAGTGGAAGTCTGTTTATAGATTTTCCTTGGGTTTTGTTGATAATACGTTACTGATTTTTCTTCCAAACAAGTCTAAACCATTCTTCATGGAAAGGACGGCAAACAGAAATCCCTTTCCTCCTGCCATGTTATCCCATTCTTCTCCGCTTTCCTGCAAACACCCTGCATTTCCCCTTCCCCGTGACTATATAAATTTTAGGTATCCTGTTGTCTTCTCAACTCTGTTGCTTGTTGTGTCAAGACCATGGTGTGATTTTACCTTTTATTTGTTGAAATCTCATTAGTTGTTCCACTCTGCACAAAGTTTTTATCTAGGTCCTACCCCTCACAAAATAATGAATAAAGACTCAGGCCATGACCCTGCCCAGTGACCTTGTGATGAGTCTCCACTCAAAGAGTCTTCCAATAATTCAGTCCTTCTCCCAGGATCTTGAAAGTATCCCATAATGCCAAGTCCAATAATTAGTACCTGATAAGATTTAATTCATTAAAAAATAACTGAGTGGCCAAGTGCAGTGGCACATGCCTGTGATTCCAGTTACTGAGGCAGAAGAATCCAAGTTTATGGCCAGTAAGGTAATTTAGGGAGATCCTGTCTCAAACACGGTTGGTGATATAGTTCAGTGGTAGTGCCCCAGGGTTCAATCCCCCAAAAAGCAATAAATAAATAAGTTTTTAAAAATTATGTGCCTACTATGTGTTAGGCACTGTCTAGATGTTTGGAACAAAACAATGAGTAAGCCCGACATGGCTCCTCTCATGGAACTTGGTTTTGTTTCTTATCCCACAGGTTTCTGACTTTTAACAATGGACAAAATCCTGGTTGGCTTAAAAACAAAAGAATAAGGTTCTATATTTGGAATTAAGCCACATTTCCCTGAGTGGGGGGTAGGGAAGGTTCTCCCAGCATCCTGCAGTCACAACATATTCTACCTACTAAGTGGGGTCTGACTGGAACCATCAAGGACTAGATCAATTGTCGTTTTTCTTGGGTCCCTGCCAGGCTCCAGCCAAACAATGCCTTTCTGTGGAATGTATTCAGTAACAGGCAAGAATGGCCAAGGAGGGCAAAGTGCTGGTTACTGGCCAGCACAGGGGTTCAGGACCACCATCAGCTATTGCTCAGGAAGACATTGCCCCCTCGTGGTTCTTCATATAACTGAGGTAAAGCGGGCATGGGGATGGGATGCCAATTAACACAATCAATGCATCAAAACATGGGCCAAGTTTCCTGATTCATGGTAGCCTTGCTTCTTCTGAATTTTTTCAATTGCAGCTTCAATAGACTCTTGGCTTATTTCCCTCCAGGATATACAGTTCCTATGGAGAGCAATGACATTGTGTCAGCAATGAAAGAGATTTTTTTTTTCTCCCTTTAACAACTTTTTTTTTTCAAAACCTTCAGACCACCACCCCCAAGAAAAACTCAATATGTAAACCTAAGTACCACTACTGCATTTCTCTTTATAACTCCTTTAAAGAGAGGAAAAAAAAAAAAAGAAAGAAAGAAAGAAAGAGGAAAAAAAATTGTTTTGCTTACTATAATTTGAACCAGGATTCTGTGATTATGTTGCTGTGGAGTTGTTTTGGGTATCTTGTCTCCACAACACCACTTCAAACTCCCTAAAGGCAGGGCTCTTATCTTCAAACTCCCACCACCTCCTCCACCCTGGCCCCAATAGCACTTAAACCAGTGTAGGGTAAAGAATGTCTAGTTGGGGGTGGGGTGGGGAGTAAGGGGAGTTGTAAATGGTTAAGCAAGCAAATAATAATTAGAAGTTGTGATGGGTGCTAGGCACAAAAGGAACAGGAGTGCACTGAGAATTCCTAGGTGTTAGAAGTGAGGTAGAGTCTATCAATATATGGAGTAAAAATTTTTTTAAGAAATTGTTTTTGGTACTGAGCATTGAACGGGGCAATTTACCACTGAGCAAAATCCCCAGTTCTTTTTATTTTGAGACAGTGTCCCTAAATTGCTGAGGATCTTGTTAAATTGCTGAGGCTGGCCTACAATTTATGAGCCTTCAGCCTCAGCCTCCTGAGTCACTGGGATTACAGGCATACACCACCAGGCCCAGCTTGAAATTTAAATTTTTAGTTTGTAGCAGTCAAATTCAAAAACTTAAATAATTCAGTATTGGGGGGAAAATGGCCACCTCCTTAATAATAATGTTAACTTTCATGTAATGTAAACCTAAACTCGTCAGGAATTGAGCCCTAGGTGCTATAACTCTATCCATCTGTAATGTCCTCTAAAATCTTGAGAAATTACATATAACTCTCCCATTACATAGATGAGGAAACAAGCTCTGCGATCCTTCTGAGGTTGGATTATGACCAGGCCAGATGTTGAGTACTTGGTGCTTTGACCTTCTGCAGAGTATTGTGCTGACCTCCAGTTCTGTTTGCAGTAAGGAGTACTCACTTAGCCAACAAGTATTTACAGAGTGCCAGGTAGCTCATCTGAATAGCAGTGGGATTAAAGAGATAAGAAGGGGTACAGTCTTGCATTCCAGGAAGGAGCTCCCCTAAGAGTGAGGAGACTGCCAGGTAAACAAATGATTCCAGAATAGTCCAGTGAGACATGCGAAGCCTTGAGAGCAACAACGCAGCGGGTAGGCTGAAGATGTTTCTTAGAACCCCCGGCGTTTGAAATGGGTTTGAAACCAGGTCCTGAAAAAGCCGGCCCAGAGTGGGCTGTCCCCGGTATCACTTGAACTTTCCCATTTTAAGCTGCCAACTAGGAGAACTGCCAACTGGGTCTCAATTGGTACTGACCAGGAGGGTAGGCTTGGGCATAGGGGTGCAATTTGTTTTCCTGGTGAAAAGCAGGCTAACAAAGTAGCACTGCCAGGTCCTCGGTTTCCCGAATCCCCTCCACAAACCCACGCGCCAACTCAGGGCAGGTTGGGACCCCGGGATCCCGCAAGTAAATCGGAGGACCTCACCTTCTTCCCGCCAACTCCCGGGCCCTCGCCCTCCAACCCACCGCGGAGTCGGGGTCTGGGGTCGGCCGCTTCCGCCCGGCCAGCCTCCCCTCCCCGGCGCGCGCCATCCGGCTGCGGGGCCACGGCGCTCGGCACGGCTCCTCCTCCCGCGGGGGGCTTCTCGTTCCTCGTCCCATCCCTGTGGGCTGAAGCCTGCAGCCCACGTCCAAAGAGGGCGGAGGGAGGAAGAGAGGGAGGGCAGAGGAGAGGGGAGGGAGAAAGGGTAGAGAAAGGGAGCTGCTTCCATCCAGTACTCCCCAAGCCTGCCAGGAGCGCGCACTCAGCGGCTTTACGGGTCCCAGCGTCCCAGCCGCGGCCCCCGACCCGCACCACGACCACCTCTTCTTCCTCCTTTTCTCTGGCCACCTCTCGTCCTCTCCTTCAGCAACTGCTAGGCACCGGCAGCAGCAGCCCCCAACCCCAATTCGACCACATCCCCAACTCTCAGGGCTCACTCTTGGGACGCGCGTCTTCGCCCCATCCTTTCTTCCTTCCTTCCCTCGCGCCCGCCCTCCCTCTCCAGGTCTCCCTCCGGGTCCCGATTGTCTCCGTCCCCTGCTCCGTCGGCTCGCGCCCGCGCCCGGCCCATTCTTTCCCTCGCATTTCCTGAGTCGCGGGCCGCCGCTGTGTCGCCGCGCCGCCGGAGCCCAAGCCCCAGCCGCCGCTGCTCCGGCTTCAGCCCCCGCAGCCCGCGGCCCCCGCCCGAGGGAGCCCCGGCGCCCGGGGAAGGCAAAAGTGGGCGAGTGAGCCGTCACCCAGCCCCGCGCCCCTGCCCTGCCCCGCGAGGAAGGACCGGGAAAATGAACAACGGCGGCAAAGCGGAGAAGGAGAACACCCCGAATGAGGCCAACCTTCAGGAGGAAGAGGTACTGAGGGGCTCGGTGCGGTGGCGGGTGCGACCTGGGTCGGAAGTGCGGGCCGGCGGGCGGGCGCTGGCGCTCGTCCCGGGCTCCCGGCTGCGCTTCGGGGAGGGGGCGCCGCGTTGAAAGGTTTGGGAATATTCGTTGCCCCGAGACGCAGCCCCGAAATGTGGCTCCGGGACCGTGTGTCTGTGTCCACGCGCGTCTGCGTGTCCACAATTGCGTAACTCTGAGGACTTTGGGGACACTTTTTAAAGTATAATGGTGAGCTTTGTTTGCCTGGGATTTTAAAAGCGGAATCGAGAGCTGACTCCTGAGTGACCTCAGACGATCTGGACCAGGAGCGTCAGAACTTAGTTCTCTCTGTCTGGAACTGAAACTTAGGAGGTTGGTTAAGGAAGAAACTCGGGGAAAAGTTCTCGTGAAAAGACACCTCAGTTCCCTGCCCACTTCCCTCTCTTTCAGTGTTAAAAATTCTTGGTGAAATACCTAGCCGAGACAGTTTGGATTAATAGATAACTCATCAGCTGCATTCTTCTCTGATGAGTCAAAGACCCCTGAACCTGGGCGATTAGCTTTTGTATGTTTCGGAGCGATGTGGGATGGGGGGAGCAGAATAAAAGTGAAAAGTGCTCATCGAGGATGTTTTAATAAGACATTGACTTAGGATATAAATTTTATGTAGTGCGACTAAAGTAATGATTTTAAAAAAGTTTTGAGGCTGCAGAGCGTTCCTTTTGTAGAAACACATTTAGTAAATGTGTGGACCAGGGTGCAGGGCAGGGGAGGAACTCAGAAACAAATGTTTCAGGATTTTGCAGCTAAGATATTTGTGATATCATATGATTCTGTTCCTGTAAGTACATTATCTGGAGTCCAAGAAACTGTTTTTCTTGCTTTTAAAGATCCTACATAACTGAGTTCTTAAACATTCTAAAAGGAACTTAAGAGTGCACATGCAGGAAATACACATCTTAATATAATCTGTAAAGGGTTTTTACAGGTATTACGTCCGAATAAAGGACACAGAAGGTAAACTGATACTAAGGCAGTTAGGGTGGTGAGATTATTGTTGAGACACCGTGTTGTGTGCAGACTGAAATTCGGAGAGTGAAACCAAACATTGCAGAGGAATTCATCAATGTACCTAGGACCTGGACATTATCCACTTGTATAGTGGGCTATGTACAAGATAAGAGGAGAGACCTAAGGTCATGTGAAACTGCAAAATATTTTTCTCTTAAAACACAGTTGTATGGTTGTGCAATCCAGGTGAATTGCAAAAAGCTGAAAACTGTTTTCTTACCTTTTGAGGAAGTCGCCTAGTTTATTATTTTGAAAAGTGTTTTTTTACACGCTTGTTGTTCTACAAGTATAGGAATATCATTATTCTTTTTGAAAGAGACACTTGAATTTGCAAGTTTCACTCTTTTCTTGAACCTTATTGATTGCTTTGCAATTTACTTCCTGATCACTAACATTTTTTTTAAATGATGCCAGTTTGCTTTTAGAAATTGCTGTTTAATTAATTCACTTAGCACATCAAGATAATCACTGCTTCTGAAACATTTCAGTTAGATTGCCAAAACCCTTTACTTCTAAAGGTAAAAGAATGTCAGGTGTGAAATCATCTTTCTCCCTTAGTCCAATTGAGAAAACTTGAAACTGGGAAAAAAACTTAATCAGAACAATGAGATTTTTGTTTTGTTTTGTAGGTAGCAAAATAGGTTTGTGTGTGTGTCCCCCAAACCATATCCGGTTAACTTAAAATTATGTAGAGGAACGTCATGTTTTCCTCTTGACTATCACAGCTGAATAGCTTCTAGGACTGAGGTATTGGCCTTTTTTCACTGTGAGCTGCTGTATAGTTAGTGCAATGACTGCCATCCCAGTGCTGTCATTGTCTTGTTCGTTGTCCTGATGGTATTCCTTTGCAGGTAGGAATGGTATATAGAACTCAGAGTATCAGTATTTTTAGCAAAACACTTGTTTTTTAAATACAAGACCCTTGGGAAGGTTTCAGAACCTAGTTACACCCAAGGTAGAATGTATAATATAGATATAATGAAGAATGAGGGTTTATAATGTTAGAGATTCAGGGGGAATAAGTTGGTCTGGATGATTCCTTGTTTTTGCTTTACATTTTGTTTTTGAAAAAATACTGGTATGTCGCCCCCCCACCCCAAAGCCACAAGTAAAATAAATACAGTATTTGGTGAGTCCCATTAATGTGCTTGACATTATACAAAACCACCACTCTGGACCCTTTTCCTGCCCACCCAGGCGTTCAGCAATTTGCTCTCAAACACATTTAAAAGCCTTGGCGGTAAACTCCAGTAAACAGAACACACACATATAACATGTACATATACATAATGGCAAGAGAGGAAAAATATGCTTAGTTTTAATCTCTGGTGGCCATTGAACTGATGTGGAAAAATGAATCCAATCATAATTAAGAGAAAATAGTTTATTTCCTAGATTGCTGGGGTGGTTTAGGCTTTCTTCCATGTTGGAGAATCCAAGTTTGTTTGTTTTCTATTTTTGACATGAGTTCTCTTATCATTCAGTATGTTTTAACCCCATTTGAAAGTTTCTTGTTGCTTATTTGGCTCCAGTGGTATAGAATGAATGGTATGGGATGTAGGAGAATTTTTGCAGCTTTTTAAGGTTGGAAGTTTCTTGAGAATTTGTGTAGAATATGCACTTCTGCTTTGGACAGCGTTTAAAACTTTGAAGAGAATAATTTAAGATTTAGCTAGGCAACCGGGTGACAGAATGTACTGGCTTTCTGTGTGTATTCCTATGCAAGTTGTTTCTGTAAAGAAAAAACCAGTTGTCAAATCTTACTGAGTTATCTGAGATTTATAGGTTTATATTGATATGTACAGGGTGTCAGATCATTTTTTTAACTACTTTACAATTAATAAAATAATTTCTTGAATTTGTCTCCAGTTGTATGATCAGACTTTAATGAAGTTAATAAATACCTAACAGACCCATAATTATTTGTCTTAGTTATCATTTGTAATTTTTAATATATTCTAATATATTGACTCTTTCTGTCTTATAGACAGAAATAATTTATTTGCTGGGCATGGAATTTTCAAAATAGAAATTTCTCTTGGAAATCATATAAATATATAATTTAGTTTTATTTTTAGTTTTATTTTATTCATGTCATTGGGTACATTTTGGCTTTTTACAAATCACTTCCAACAGGCATTTTATTGTGTTGAAGTAGTTTTATTTATAGTGTAAGTCAGTTCAGCCACAGCAATTTCAGGAAAAACTAGAGAAGTGAAAAACTTGGCACCATTGGAATATTGATCGAAAAGATGTTTGGCAGATGTTGGGCAGAAATCATGTAAAGCCAAACCTTTCAGAGACTCATACAAACTTTACTTCACATTTCTTCCTTTAAAGTGCTTAGTAATTTTGCTAAAGTAAGAGAATTGTAAAGACAATTGTTTTTCATACTTGACACAGAGAAAGGGTAATGTCAGTGATGTAGCCATGTCAGGTTTTCATTGAGCTTTAAGATGAATCTATATGATGACTTTGGGAAGGTACAGAATGGTTTTGTGCAATTTAATTGAATTTGGAGTCTTTGTTATTGCAAATCAAATCTAAAACAAAAAACTTATATTTCAATTATAGAATAGGATTTGGTGACAGTGATTTGGATGAAAATATAGTGACTTCATAGTAGAAGGATGCTGCAAGACCCCTGTCAATATTGCATGCAGTTTTGGGTTATTTTTCAGGGATGGTTTTATAATGTCCTTGATAAACCGTTGTGCACATGTGCATTCTTGTTTCCAGTGGCATTTAATGTTTTGTTTTTGATGAGGTAGTTCTTTTTTGGAGGTGCTTTTGTATTATATTTGTAAGTTCATTTTAATTTTTGCTTTGAGGATAAAAGTGTTTGGTGCTGGTAATAGGGAAGTATATTGGGAACTCAGAGCTGTGTGGGGTAAGGTAACAGAAATTAGTGTAGCTTTTCTGAGGGACTTTGGTAATTTTGTATCAAAACTTGTTCCAGCCCTTTTTTTTGAATGCTTTTATTATTAGGAATTTACTCTAAGGAAAGAGGGTATAATAAAGACTTATTTATAGAAATAATTATAACAGTTACTTATGATGTTGAAGATTCACAAACTGTATCTAATAGGGAAATTGCTAAGCAAAACATTATAAAGTTATAATAAGGAAATATTAGGCAGCCATTAAAGGATATGCTGTTAAAGGGAAAAAATTATATAAAAATACACACACGCACACACACACACACACACACACACACACACACACACACACACACACACACTTATTCTCTTTCAGTTCTGTAGGCCAGAAATTTGAAATCACTGTATCGGCAAGGCAGTGATGCACCCTGTAAAGTGTTGGGAAAAATTCTTCCTTGCCTTTTTCCTTTTCTGGTGGCTCCAAATGTTCTGAAGTCTGTTTTTATTGAGGGGATAATTTTCAAGTTGTAACATTAAATAAAAAGAGCAGATTTTGCTGCTCTTTATATTTATGTAAGTAAAACCAAATGTAAATAAAATTCATGTAATTGGTGGGTTATGGATAGTTATTAATCATTTTCTGATGCTTTCCTTTGTTTTCCTTTTTTTTTAAAAAATGACTGTGAGAATGAACAGATGAGATGCCTTTTTGCTTTGAAGATTTTATGAAATTCCCTTGTGATATCTGTAGGTGTCCCAAGTCAAGTCAAGCCGGTTGGTTATATGTAGTTTTTAGTCACCATCCTGGCTGCGTGAATCTAGCCTGTTCTCATAGCCTTCTTCATATTTATCTAATCATCACTTTATCCTGGATCATTTTAGTATCTTTAGCTGTCTCTCTGTTCTAGTATCCTTCCTCAAACCATCCTTACACTATACAGTTACGTCTTTTGATATTTCAAATTCTAAAACGCTACTCTAATCTCCACAAAATAAAGTTCAAATTCAGCACTTAGAATTGTCCTAATGTATCTCTAT